CATTATAATTTCAAATTCAAAGTTTATTGATAATAACTTGTTAATTAACAATAACATGTAGAAAATATATATAAAAATGGTGTGCTAATTTTAATTATAAGATTAATTAATTTTTATTTATTAAGTTATAATATTCATTGCAACTATTATCTTTACAATGATAATGATACAATACAACATAGGTTATACAAATGAGTGCCAAACATTTTAAAAGTTTTATTACAATGCTCCGACTTTTTTTAAATAGTTATTTACACTTTTTCTTTCACAATTACATTACTCAATGTCCCTTCCTCGAAGTGGATCACAATCTCGGTGGCGAAAATTGTGTCTGTCCATTTTTGGTTTACCTCTTGGTTGCCTGAAAGAGTAATAATAATGATGATAGTAACAATAACAGTGCTAATAATAATAATAATAATAATAATAATAATAATAATAATAATAAACACAATACAAAACATACTCGATAAAACAAAAAATAATACTACTAAATAATAATAATAATCTAAATTTAATACTTAATAGGTATGAAACATAATAAAATACAATATTGTACTTACTCTTCCAAAAGACTTCTAAAAAAGGTCTTGCGCTGTAACTTGCATCATTTCGGAAAAAGTATCTCATTAATCACAGAATTATAAATAAACGCCGTAAAATTTTAAGCAGATAATGCACTTTCTCAGAATATTCTTTGAAATAAAGCAGTTACTAACTAGGCATTATTTCCAAGCTAATTAGTTAGATATTCGTTATACTAGCATCTGATTGGTTACTTACTATCTGTCTTGCGTGAAGTCAAGCGTTCAATGCATGTATCTAAGGCTTCGCGCACATAATGCCTTTTCTCAGAGTATTTATAGTGAAATTTGCAGATAATGCCCAATTTTAAAATAAAATTTCATATTTTCAGACATATTTTTGGAAATTTGATAAAATAGGGTGATAGATTAGACATTCAGGAGTCACATAAGCTAAAAATCTCAATTTTGAAAAAAATGTACTTAATGCCTTTTCTCAGAGCAGGGCAGTATAGTCTCAACTTTACGTGACTATGCCAAAGGTCAATATCCACATTCCATTTCTTGATTTCATGTGTAGGATGGTGGGTGTGGATGTAAAGGTTTGTGTAAAACCAAACAGTGCCGTTGTGTTAAAAATGGGAATGGCTGTTCCGATAATTGTTCGTGTGTCCCCGCAAAATGTGTCAATCGTCAAAGTTCAAAAGATGTAAGTATTGCAGTATTTGTTTTAGATAAATATTTTGCACATATGGCTACATTATGTGTAACCTACTGCCAGGTTCACACCAAACCAACTGATGGATTGTTTTAAGATGACAGTCAGCTTGCTTGTGCTGTATTAGGAAAGACCTCACAAAGAGCTCAGGCGAAAATGCAACGGTCAATCCAGTCCTGCTCTCTACAATAACAAACATACATATTGTAACTTTACAGAATGAAAATGTGGTCACGTCACAGTTAAACACAACTGTCGTCCTAGATTCAACAACCGACTCCGTTGCCACACCTAACTTGCTCGAGTCATCTGGCAACACCACCGTGTCCGAAAATATAAACCATAAGATTCTCTCAAATTTGGACAGCAACACAACATTCAGCTCGTCCGATAACGAGAATGATGTTCGTAAACGCCCTCTGAAAGGAAGTGATGACTCCATGGAAAGAGAAAATTCCGACCCAGAGGTCGCCGGTGTGAAAAAGAAACGCAAGTTGTTAAACAATCAAGGGAAAGCTTTCTTTAAGCCATTGGTAAATTTCTGACTGGCTGGTTCTAAGTATCCCATAACTCTCTCAAATAGATACTTGTTTTTACATCAAAACTAGTGTTTTTTCCCGAATGTATTCAAATTTTGTAACCATCTAATTCATTCGATTAAAACCTAAGATGAAAAATATTTTCTTTAAATAGGAGTTAAAGGGATACTATAAAAGTTGTATTCCATATACAGTACTATAAATAATTTGAATTGTATAATGTTGTTTAATCGTAGATGGAGAAGAATGTATGTCAGGGTAAAATGTAGTACAAAGAATTCCAAGCACCTTATTGTTCTTCGTGGTATAATAATGCTTTGATGGCAAGTTAAATGGCCGAGCGGTTAGTAGGGGCAGCGCAACCTACAGCCATAATATCAGCGCTGGTTTGAACAGCACGCTTTGAACCGTAGGCCCAGTGTACACAATGACTCGTGTGCACTATAAAGAACCCAGTACATTATCCGAGACGAGGTAGAGGATACACCCTGGTGTACTGGTACAGACAGCCCCTGTGGTGGACGACGAGAGTTGCTGGTACCGGGTACCATAGGGGGGAAGAAAGTCGTTGATCAAGTTCCTAGTCTACATATCTAAGCGCATTGTATCTTGTAATTTGGCATCAAGTAATTTAGCGTGAACTTTTTTTTTCGATAAACTAATGTCCTAACCGACAGTAAGGAATCAAATTAGCCAGTTAGCTTGCACGCACTTTATTTGCATAAATTTTTATAACGAAAAAAGGAATTCTCTTCTGTTCTGAACTTATGCAAATAAGTGAACATTTTTCGTCACTTTGTTTTGTCCACTGAGAGAGGACGCTACATACTGTATGCCTAAATATGGCAGACAGTTCCCAAGCATGTGCTACTACCGCGCATCGCTGAAATTTTCACCGAATGTATCTACGATTTGACAGACGATGTATGCCCAAAATCGGGCAATCTGTGTTTTAGCTACAGGCTCGGTAAAACCTACTGTACTTTATATTTATTCCAAGTGGGAACAGCGTTATAATGGACCGTTCCAGAGTGTCAGTCAGACTTAACAACTGACCAATCATAACAGTGCCAGGAATATGCGCATACCCTAAAAACACACATGTTAGCCCATGAACGCACGTTTTAGGGACCTAAGCCACTACCTTAGGGGCTTAGTGGAACAGTCCATTTCATAAAGCTAAAGTTAGCCACTACTGATGAATATTGCAAACTATACTCCACAAAGTGGAACATGCGTGAATTTTTTTTTAGCCTGTATGAAAAAATAATCCAATAGTCGTAATGAATGAATATGCTAAAGTCCGCCCTGGTAGATATTGTTGCTGCTAAGTTTTTGTAAAACGACAGCATAAACGTGCATTATTAGGGAGCTTACAATTTGCGCGACAACGCAACTCTACAACAAATTCACTCATCCATGACCATCTTATGTTTTCTGTACAACATAGATTTCACCAAATTGCGGCCTAGAATTCACCGACAAAAACGTTTTTGCTTGCGCAGATTAAACATTAGTGAAATTACGTTCTAGATTCTACCGGGTCTTGCTATCGAAAGCTTCCTATTAAGAGGGTTTGTGAGACATGCGTATATTCCTAGCCATACTTGAATAAATCAATTCATGGTTTGAACTGCGCATATGCATATCCACTGGTATCCCAGGTCAATCAACATACCTATGTCGCGTGTATGTTTGTTTTTTTACCTTGATACGAGAATGTGCGGTTCAAACTACAAGTTAGCTCAATGGTCTGGAAGTCAATTTTAACATATCTGCAACAAACGACGTGAACACATGCACATATTTGAAGTCATATGCAATGGCAGTGTACTGTATATTGAAGAACAGCATATTTTTGGAATACTGTATTTGTAAATGATTTATCAGTAGATATGGTTTTTGATCAGCATTAACATTTTCTAATTGGTTTACATCTATCACATTTTTTTCTTATTTTTAATTTTCTTTTAGTTTCTTTAACCTTCCAAAGTAAAACATAATACAGTATCATGGATTTATCTGAACATAATCAGAAAATAATGAAGTATAAACGAAGAAATTATACACTAATTAACTGCTTATTGTCCATAACTGAATTGAATTTTTAAAATTAAATAATTTATGGGCAGTACTTATGCCAGAAAAGCTGGGCTTACACTGCCTTGCAGTCGTTGGCCGACTCAATGGTATGCAGAACGCAACACGAACTGACAGTCGGCAGACGACGTCGCATCGTCAAATGCTCACTTGAGTGCTGAGATGGATTTGGCAGTTCACTTTCGTACAACTGTTGTACGTTGCAGTGTGTATGCCTAGCTTAACATTTATTAAATTCTGATAGGAAGGTTACAAATTCCCTGGCATTCCTTTAGACTGCTTGTACCAACGCAGTGACATACAGCAGCCTGTTAGATTAGGCAGAGCGAATGTTTTGATATTGTACAAAGTAAATAAATTCTTCTGAAGTGAATATTCTGATCGATAGTATTTTATTTCTATAGATTCAAGTACTGTATTTCTTTGCTAAATATAGTATTCAAATCAAATTGCTGCGTAGCACCATGAACACAATACAGTATAAAAAATAGATACAGTAAATAATAACAGTGCTCAAATAGCAACATGTTTTAATAATCGTATCAAGTAGAGCTCACGACAAGATAGGGAAATTGTTTTCGTATGCTTTTTACCGTTTAAAATACTGTATATAAAGCATTACTGCAACACGATTTAGAGTTTATCTCTCCTTGTGTTACATTTCATTTTTAGGCCTATATACAGTATATATATCTGTCTCTTATACACATCTAGATGTGTATAAGAGACAGGTATTGCAGTATTTGTTTTAGATAAATATTTTGCACATATGGCTACATTATGTGTAACCTACTGCCAGGTTCACACCAAACCAACTGATGGATTGTTTTAAGATGACAGTCAGCTTGCTTGTGCTGTATTAGGAAAGACCTCACAAAGAGCTCAAATAAATTCAAATCAAATCAAGTAACGATATCCATACAGTTAATAAATATCTCAATATTTAAAGACAAACTTGCCATCCAAAAAATCAAGAATATTCCCAAAACTTTCAAAAAAAAAAAAACCAAAAAACAAGAAACACCCCATTTTTCAATTGGCCATGTTTTTGTTCATTAGCCTGTGCATAAATTTATCATATTAATGTTTATAACGTGTAGAATTCTAGATCAAATCTATAGCCAATTTAATATTTTGTATAAAAACCCTGTTTTATAAGTACTGTATGATTATTCAAATTATTATGGTTAAGATTGTGTCTTTGCCCGATTTTGTTTTCGTAGTTTTTTAGCCTTTTCTTTCTCCTCCAGTTTTTGTAGCCTCTCTCGCATAATCCCAAGGAAAGCATTCCCTGATATAACGTTTGGTAGGCGGTCTTTCTTCTTAACTGCTTTTACAGGCCTCTGTGGGAATTTCAAATGTTCTTTCAAGACGGAAGACATAGTAACTCGATGTAGAAGGCCCACCGAGGTATTTTATGCTTTTGAATGGAGCAGTTGGTTTAGGTTTAGGTTGTTGTTTCTTTGTTTCACCTGGATTGACACACGCCTCTGGAGTATTACCAAGAAAGACAGACACCTGGTGTTTTTTTCCATGTATGTATTTCGGGTATATCGTATCCCTCGGATACTCTGCGCTGAAAAGTACCGACGGTTTCCTTTCCCAAAGCTGCTTCAAATGTATTCAACGTGACTGTGGCTGCGGAAAGTGTTGATGCCTCAAATTTGTCCTGGGCTGCAGAAGGAGGATTGCTAATTGTTGATTCGTCAGTAATGATCTTTGGATACACTTCACTAGTGGCAAGCGTGTCCATGTCTACTGCATTGGGATTGAACGGGACTAGTCCAGATTTGCGAAACCCAGAAACTGCATGTGATGGTATGGTAGTTGACTCCCATTTGCTACATAATACACGGGAAAAATTCCTCTTGCTAACAACTTCACCGGGGTTTTTATCATATATTCGCGGACAGCGTGGTAACAAGCTGCTTTAATTGACTTGTCAATGGCGACATCCAGAGGCTGCATCAAGTGGCTGGAGTGTGAAGGAGAAACAATACAAGATGATGTCATTTTCGACACTTTGTAAGCTAATATGTTACGTATGCCTGTTTACGAACAACACTATAGGGAATTTCACCTCTAATGATCTAACAAACGGTAGAAAATGATTTGAAAGGTTTTCGAAAAATACTTCTGAAGCAACCCAGCCAGATTTTGTTTTGGCAAAGCAGCAATGCTTAGGGGCACCGTCCAAAGAATCGTAATTGAATCGAACCCCCTGAAAGATGATTAATGGGGGGGGGGGGGGGG